ATGAAGCGCGTTTACTGAGAGGCGGGACCACGCTGCTGTAATGAGGCAATATAGGAGAATCTGTACACTCCTTACTTTTATACGGATTACATAAAAAGAGATAATTTGTTTTCGACTTGAACTGGTAGACATATCAAGCTTTATATAGATATCATAAATCATCATCTTTGTTGACTATTTGCCGAGTTTCCTTTCATTTTTGTGACGTGTTTTTCTTCTCGCATCTTCAGACGCTTGTAATAACAATGCCTCATGGGCGTGGTCGCATTAAAACTAATGAGATCAGACTGAGAAACTAGACATAGCATTGCTTTCTAGAAATACAGGCTAAATAAAAGCACCTTGTCAGAAACATCACCACACACGTGTCAGTTTACAGCTTCTGTGAAGATCAGACAGCCTACAGATCACACAATCTCAATAAACAACATGTAAATGTATAAATATTTCGCTAAGTATTGTTATGGAATATTTATAACTATATGATCTTGCTTTTTGGTTTTATCGATACCAGCTTTGATCTCTCTTACAAGCGGCAGTTTACAGGCGCTGCATAAGGGCGTCTTACACTGTCAATGGTGGAATACACACAGCACTGGCAAGACGTTTTATTTGTTGCAGATTTGCGTGTTGTTCCTTTTTAAAAATACCTTTTATTTTTAAAATCTCTCAAGTTAATGTTGTCTATCGAGTAACATAATCTCCCTCGGATTGGAGAAAGACTATTGACCATTGACTAAGACTGCGCAGTAAGATAACGATTTATCGTTGTACGATTTATTGCGATGCAAAAATGTCACAATATGCATCGTGGCATTATGACGATTTGATTACGATATAATGTTCGTTTTCTCTTATTAGTTGAGCTGTTTGCACGTGAGCTACGTTCCACCTGCTGTCGCACGTGAGTTCAGATTGCAGCAGCAGTAATGTAAGAAGACCAAGATGAGTGGAGTTGAAATAGAGGATGGCCCATCCTCTCAAAATCAGACGTCTGGCAACATTTAGGTTGTACAGTCATTGCTTTAGACTCGTCCGCTTTTTGACACGCATACTGGGTCAAACATAGCCTACGTTTTAAAGTCTTCACAGTGATTTACATATTTTGCACAGCGACATGGATACCTCCTAATGGTGTTAATGCTCTCGTCTTAAGTCAGTTATTTATAATTATATTTTCCATTTAATTCAAATAAATGTTTAATAAAAAAAGAAACGAATACTTAAAAAAACAAATGTGTGGACGGGTGTCATGGTGGAAAAGTGATGTCACCGGTGTTGCGTCTTAAAACCGGTATCACCGTCAACACCGTCTATCGTGGCAAGCCTAATGCAAGGATCGAGTTTAAATGTATGTGTGTGTGTTAATGTGGGAGTATAAGCAAGGATAAAGTTTATGTGCTTGTGTATGTGGGTGCATGCATGCATCAAGTTTATATGTATGTGCGTGTGTTAATGTGGGAGTATATGCAAGGATTGAGTTTATATGTATGTGCGTGTGTATGTGAATGAATGCATGCATCAAGTTACCTGTATATGCGCAAGTTTCATACATGTTTTGAACATAGTAGAGGTTTATATGCACATGTTGATAAGCAAAGTTTGATTTATATCTTTTTTTTTTTTTACATTTAGCAGACGCTTTTACCAAAGCGATTTACAAATGAGGACAAGGAAGCAATTTACACAACTATAAAAGCAACAATGAATAAATGCTATAGGCAAGTTTCAGGTATGCAAAGAAAGTGTAAGCAAAACAGTAGTAATTTTTTTTTTATAATGTAGTTAGTGGAGGGGTCAGAGAGGGAATTGCCGATTAGTAAGGAAAGTGGAGACTAAATAGTTAAGTTTTTAGTCATTTTTTGAAGAAAGCTAGTGACTCTGCCGTTCTGATGAAGGGAGTTCATTCCACCAACTGGGCAGATTGAGCGCGAGAGTTCGGGAAAGTGATTTCTTCCCTCTTTGGAATGGAACCACGAGGCAACGTTCATTCACAGAACGCAAGTTTCTGAAGGGCCTATAAATCTGCAAAAGTGAGAGAAGATAAGAAGGGGCGCAGCCAGAAATCACTTTGTAAGCAAACATCAGAGCTTTGAATTTGATGCGAGCAGCAACTGGCATCTGGAATGTGTAGCGAAGTGACATGTGCTCTTTTAAGTTCATTAAAGACCACTCGTGCAGCTGCGTTCTGAAGCATCTGTAGAGGTTTGATAGATGGGAGCTAGCTGGGAGCCCGGGTAGTAGAGAGTTGCAATAGTCCAGTCTGGAGAGAACAAGAGCTTAAACAAGGAGTTGAGCTGCATGTTCAGATAGGAAGGTTCGGACCTTTCTGATCTTGTAGAGTGTTGTAGAATGTTTATATCTTACACGGCGCCTCCTAGCCATCTGTGTTTTTTTTCATTGTCTTCTCTTCTGACACAGCTGGTTTGGTGAGGGGACAGGTTGGCTTGAACTTTTATGATGCCTCATCTTCTGACTCAGTATGTTATATCGGCTGCACCACTCTCCCGCACATTTTGCATAGCACCAAAACTATAAGTTTAACGAAACTTAAAAAGTCGAACCACTTCCACACCACTGCATTAGTCTTTTCTCTCTTATCAACTAATTCGTCTCACTCATTTTGTAGTTAAAACTTTCTGCGATAGAGCTTATTTGACCAACTGCTGAGCACTGGCAGCGTGTCTGTGATGTATGTCATCAAACAAGTGATATCACGCTCTTTCTAACAGCTGAGCACTGAAAGTCATTCAGTGAAAAATGATACAATGTATAAGATCTTATACACATATATATATATATATATATATATATATATATATATACACATATACAATATTGTGGACTGAAAGATCCACTGTAGAGCTGGACAATAATTCGATATAAATAGATTTTTTTTTCAATAACGGTGATATGATATTTAAACCTATTTCCGGTATTTCGATATGAATTTGTATATATATCGAAATATCGGAAATAGGTTTAAATATCATATCACCGTTATTGAAAAAAAATCTATTTATATCGAATTATTGTCCAGCCCTACAGTGGATCTTTCGGTCCATAATATTGTAGTGATGTTAACGTACTTTAAAAACTGAAAGAGCACTGCTGAGGACTAACTTTGCCTAATCTGCTGCTTATTAATAATTATTAAGGTAGTAGTTCGATTTAGACATTGGGTAGGATGAAGGATGCAGAATAAGATCAAACTTTAGAAATAGTAATAAACAGCCAGTATTTCAATAATATGCAGGTGTGAGAATTGCTACTTAAACATAAAATCAAAAGGGAATGCATTCAAAGTGTCATTTAATCCTGCAATTTAAAGCTGAATTATAGACATTATTGAGTGACATCCACTCTCTCTTCATCTGATTGGCTAGAGGGGCAAATATCATCTCAATTAGTGGACCAATCATGAAGCCCGCCTTTGATTCAAATGAAAATAAATATTTTGGAAATGGGAAAAGACCCACACAAAATATATAAATATATGCAAGAAAAACAGATTTTGTTTTCAATTAGGAAAACTTTGAAGTCAAGTTTCATGTTTGAGCAATTCTAAACACGTTTTCATTTTTTATTCAGGCTCATTGTCCTTCGGTGCGTGACCTCATTGTATCTTATTCTGCATTTAGTTTTTGCACATTATAATTTCACACGTTTCATTTTTTTTATTTTTTTTTTTACTTGGGCTCATATTTTTAAGTCGTGACCTCTATACATTTGGCTGCATTTTGATTCCATAAAACAAATAAGGATAGCTCCCCCAACAGTCATTGTTTACTCAACCTCCATTTGTTCCAAAACTGTTTTGAGTTTCCCGTTTCTTGAATTGAACACAAAAAATACATACTGAAGAATGTTGGGGGAAAGCTAGTTATTTCCATTGTATAGTTTTGTTTATATTTATATAATTCATTTATATTACATACTTCTTTCCATCATTCTTCAGAATATCTTGTTTTGTATATGTAGTAAATGATTTGAAAATGTTTATTTTTCCTTAAATTAAAAGGAAGTCAACAGCAACTGGAATTCCAGAGTTAAAAACAAATACAGATCAAACAAAATGAACAGCCATGGTTCTAGGGAAGGCATGTCCAATCTCAGTCCTGGAGGGCCAGTGTCCTGCAAAGTTTAATTCCAACCCCAATCAGACACACCTGGGCTAGTTAATCAAGCTCTTACTAGGCTTTCTAGAAACATCCTTGCAGGTGTGTTGAGGCAAGTTGGAGCTAAAATCTGCAGGACACCGGCCCTCCAGGACCGAGTTTGGACACCCCAGTTTAAGGCAATACACATGACTATTCAGACTGTTGTTAATGCAGTCGAAACTGTTTGTTTGGGCTGTACATTAAAAGTATTATGTTGTAATTTAAATAATGTTCAGTTTAAGTAGTAGTCAGTTCTGGTAAAGGTTTTAATAGAATAGCCACCGGTATATGTATGTCTTTATTTACTAGTTTATTTTGCTGGTGGCTAATTGACTTGAATTTCACGAATCACCAAGGACCATTTAAAGCTAAATATCTCCTTAAATGTTCTACTGAAGAAAAAATGCACCTACATCTTAAATTGGTGAGTGTCCTGACCGCAAATGATAACAGAATTTTAATTTAAAGGTGAACTATTCCTTTAAATCAAGGTTTGAAGTGACCTATAAGAGATCATAATGGCGGGATCAAAGAGGCACCCAAACACAGTGATAACTAATTTATATGTATATGTTTAATATTATTTAAGTGTAAATCTAACGTTAAACACCAACTATAAATGTGCCATCGAGACGTTTGTGTCATGGTGCAAATATGCTCACTGGCCATACAACGTGAGACACATAATCCTTTACCTCCTTTAAGGAGACAGTCACTAAAACGAACGTGTACTGCATTTGGAATTCACGTAACGTTACTGCACCGTGGAAGTAATGTTATCACGCTAATAAAGCATATCAACTGACATCGGTGAATTGAAGGGCCCAACGTGGATTTTACCTTGCATCATGGTTGCAGCACTTCATTCCTTGGTTTCACGCGAACAAACACCCTGACATGAGATACAGCAGTGATCCGGGAGCCGGCCGTTGAAGGTAAGGCTCATAATGCCCAGCACCGCACGTCCTCGTTTCTTGAGTTCCCCGGTAACGTTAACCGGTTTGGTTAGGCCCCAGGCTCCGCCGCATTAGCAGCATCCACACACGCCATCACCACTGAGGGGATGCTGAGGACAGCCGTTGAACGGAGAATGGAAGTGTGGGAGGGTCGCGTAATTACTAACCACACTATGGCGAAGGCTTTATCATTAATATTAACAAGGTCACGCCGACGTAGCTAGTAACTTTTGTGGGCCGTTTGTCACGTAACAAATTAATATGCATGAGCCAAGCCTTTTTACATAGTAGTGTTTGTTGGTTCGCAGATCCAGTAGCAGTCCATCAGCAAAGGGGTGGGGTTGCGTCACGTTACGTGTTTACTATTCATGACGTAAGCCATGCCATAGTAGGATTTATGCATTCACAGGAGGGACCCAGAATCGGAACGTTCCATGGTCTGGTCGCAAAAACGACATAGCGCCGCCTGCTGGGTGACAAAACCTTATGCCATAGGTTCCGTGCATTTTCTTTTCCTTTTTTGTTTTGAAAATAAATGGTCATTTTAACAGTCTGGATACATTGATACGACCGTAAGAACATTTATTTTAAAATGACTAATAATCAATTTCTTTTCAAATTGGATTTGTAGCATGTTTTAGAATTTAAACACAAAGTGTCCTCATAATTTTTTTTTATTTTTTTTTGCATTAGAATAATTTATTCTATTTTGCAATAATAGAATAAACAGCTTTCATATTTTATAACTGCATTTTTTATGTAGCCTACTTCAGGTTCTCAACAGTCCAATCATCAAATTCTCTTTAGAATATGTGTCGCCTCCCCTACTAACATTACAATATAAAATATGATAAAACTGACACATTGTGCTCTAAGGGGATAAACATTTGACAGTGTATGCTTTCCATAGGTATAAGTTTTTGCTCAGATTTGAGGTTGAACGACATGTCGCGTTTTCTCTTTTTTGGTGAGTGTCAAAAAAGTGTGAATATAAAATATGTAATATTCAGGAGAGAGTGGGTACAGGAGCAAGTATATTGTTTGCACATTTATTTACATTAAAGGAAAAACAACTGAATTCATAAAAAGCACAATTATAGATCTAACTTCAGTGATAATAGGCTATTAATAATACTCACAATAAAAAAATAATAAAGTCATTTAGATCACAATAGTCTCTTAGATAAGTGGATTATCCTTCATCATTTCATCCTGAGACAAATTTTGGATCACAATATTTAGTTTCCACTTCCCTTGCTTTTATTGAAATGTTTTATTATTTTAATTTGAATGGCAAGGAGAGTGATTAAATACCAAGAGGGTTTTGCAGTTTTAAACACTTAGTTATATGATTTTAACAGGCTGTGAAAATTATTCAGAAAGGACACAAAGAATGAACTTTTCAGCTGCAATGAATATGCAATGCTTGCATCATCTGAACAGGGTAAACACACCTAAAAAGAACACAATTCCGTTGGAACAAGGGTGTGATGGAACATGCTGGTTATGCTACAAAAATAAACAAATAATAACAAAAAGGAAATATGCCACCAAAAAAAGCTTTATGCTCAGATGGAGGAGGTTGACGATATCAAGCTGTTGCTCGATATGAGGATGTTGTTAAAAAACAGCAAAAGATGATCATCTGCCTGATGGAGAAAGTGAAAGCCTATACATAACATTGAAAAAGACAAACAGATTGTTACTATACAAATGAACAAAATCGTGGTCACTGGATTTGAAATCAAACCATAACACAGCCCTGGTTTCACATTAGCCTAACAGAAACTGTCAAAAATGTTGCTTTACAAAGCTCAATGACTTTACACAGGCTGAGATAAAATGCTATTGCATTTTTTTTTATATTAGCTCCTCAAAATGTCCCGCACTGATTTGTTTCAGTTGAAATTATTTAAATTCTCAATTTCAAAAACTTCTGTGATTAATACTGTAAACCTTTACAATTTTAAAATATGATTTTGATTTCATTCTTATTAATATAAAAGATATTTGTTTTGTGTTATCAAACAAATCATTTTAATTGTACTTAGTATACAGTACTATATAGTTTAGTAAATGTAATATTTATAGAGGGCTGTTTGGTGGCGCAGTGGGTAACATGTTTGCTTGACAGCAAGAAGTTCACTGGTTTGAGCCTAGGCTGGGTCAGTTGGGACTACTGTGTGGGTTGCAGCTGAAAGGGTATTCGCTGCGTAAAACATACAGTATGCTGGATAAGCTGGCTGTTCATTGCGCTGTGGCGACCCCAGATTTATGGGGACAAAGCCGAAAAGAAAATGAATGAATGAATAATATTTATATATATCCTAACAGCCAGATATACTGTACTCTTTCTTAACATCAAGGTCAGACAAAGACACATGTTGATCAAAGTGTCCTACAAAATTAAAAACAACTACAAAGATTAAAATCCTCAACAAAAAAATATGCTACAGCAAACAGGTATGACTTTAACTGAAAAAAAACTTATAGAGTCAGCATTTCTGACCTGTAGACATGAGCTGTCCTAGAGTCTTGATGCCACTGATCTCTCTCTACAGAGAAAGTGAAAGGAGCATCCCAAATTGCATGCTTATGCACCAGGGGCGGACTGGCCATCTGGCAGACCGGGCACTTTCCCGGTGGGCCGACATACTTTTTGGGCCGGGCTGATCATCGTCTTATGATCTGATCGGCCCATAAAAGGCTTAGCAGCCTATCGTTTTTTTCTACCTTATTGATTGACGCTTTTTTTCCCAGACAGACAGACCGGGCCCATGTGACAAGCGCAGAAATCGCAGGAAATACACCGGCGTTTCATTTAGCGATTCTGAAAAGTTCTCTGTTCATTCTAGTACACGGCTAAAAGCGCAAATCACGTGACCACACACATGCACACTCTCTGCCAAGAGCTGCAGTCAGTGGTTCAGTGCGTAAGCATAAACCCCAGGTGAGAGTATAGTGCATGTCAGACAGTTCATCTGCTGGATGATCTCATCACACTATAGTTGTTAAACGTGATATTGAATTCATCTTGTTGTCGCTATCTAACAACTCGTATGTCTTTTGAATCACTTGTTCTCAGTTAACTGTATTGGCTGAGTGCAAAGATAAGCTAAAATATTAATTTATGTAACCACATACACTGATTCTGCACATTGACTGATTGCTTACCTTTATCGTTTAAATTTAATGTACGTTATGCTGTTATAATGGCCATTATTGGTTATTAAAACTGATATTCTGCAAAAGACACAGGGTAAAGTTCATTCTTTTCAATGGAAATAAAAGGAGGCAGTTATATTTAAGCCCTGTTTTGTTATAAATATGCAGAGTGAAGATGATGCTCATATAAATATGCAGCTACACGAGGCTGTTTGGTGTCTGTTAATCATAATATCAAAATGAAACAAATTTGACTTATATTATGTCTTCATTGTTTAGATAGTGAAACAGCAAGCAGGATGAGGTGAATGAGGTTATAAAGTACACTGTTCCCTTTGAAGATTTACCCATGCATCAATTTTTGTTATGTTTATTATTGAATATAGGCTGAGTGAATAGTGTATTGAATAAGCTAAATTGGCTGTAGTGTATGAGTGTGTGAATGAGTGTGTATGGGTGATTTCCGATATTGGGTTGTGGATGGAAAGGCATCTGCTGCATAAAACATGCTGGAATAGTTGGCAGTTCATTCCACTGCGGCAACCCCTGATAAATAAGGCACTTATGCAAAGAAAAATAAATGAATGAATAGTGTATTTTTTAGAACTCAACAAATATCTTTATGGACAGTATACAGAAATTAAATTGAGATTAAAGTTTGTATTTATTTATTTCATATATATGGATTTTGTGTTTTATAGAATATGAGTTGATAAAAGTATTGGACGTGCATAGATAGATAGCATTTTGATTGAATTTAGTGGGCCGCTCTGGCCCAAAATGCCAGGGCCGATTATTTGCCCCAGTCCAGCCCTGTTATGCACTATTTTATGCCATTTTGTAGTATAATTAGTGTAAGTAATTCTAAAAAGAATAAGTGCACTTTAAATACCTGGATTATGCACTTATTGAACTGTTTAAATCAGGGGTCTCAAACTCAATTTACCTGGGGGCCGCAGGAGGCAAAGTCTGGGTGAGGCAGGGCCGCATAAGGGATTTCACAAAAAAAGTCCTCAAATGTCATTATTAACAGTTTTAATTATTTCTTCTGAACATGAAGTGTCCTGAACATTAATAGAACATTGAGTGAAGATTATGAACAGTTCTTCTGAACATGGCATCTTTTGCTTACTTCTTGCTGCCAGAGACTTGACAGCGCTTCTTCTCACAAATCTGAACCACATTTGGCTTTAGAGCGGAAGCAGTTGAGACCCTCAGTATGGCTTAAAGATGATCATCATTAAGTCTAGACCTGTACTTTGACTTATTGAAGTCCTAGGGAAAAAAGTGGGGGAACTCACTCAAAACTTCCATTCCCTCACCTAAAAAAAAGGCGTATATATGTATAAATAAAACACCCCCACCCCAATCCAGTCACATCAGTCTGTACCAGTCTGTATCTACCTATAATATCAATATATATAAGATGCAGGGCAGGCACGTGCACACATAGGGCTCAACCTGTGCAGAGCACATGCCCTTTTTAGTCTTGCATAGAAAGCGCCCTTCCAAAATGATCAAAAGTGCCCCCGCGACGCGACACACCCTCGGTCCCGCCCTTCAGTAGGCGCGCGATAACACTGCTCTTGAGTACGTGCGCGACAACACAGCTGATCAGAACGCGCGCGACAACGCGCATTGAGTGACAAGCGCGCTGTGTACGGATAGAATCAGCGGAGCGGGGAGCGCTCTCTCTTCCCGCTCCGCTGATTCTGTCAGAGTACAGCGGTCGGCGCGGGCCACAAAATATTGCACTGAGGGCCGCAAATGGCCCGCGGGCCGCGAGTTTGAGACCCCTGGTTTAAATGAAGTGTGGAATGTTGGACACCACCAACTCAATGGCCACTGCTTTGCTCACATAGGACTTCAGGCTTCTGGACAAGGATTACTTTATTTATTTTGGATTGTGAAAGCAAAATTCTCCTACGAGAGTGATTATGGTGAATGCAGTTATAAACATGGCAGGTATTATTTAGTAGTTTGGTCCTTAATTTCACTAATTTGGCAACCTTCAAATGTCATCTGAGAAATGGTTTGAATTTCCGCTTATTAAAAAAAGTTAGTGTTCCATTTGGGAAAAGCATATACTACGCAGTTGAGTGTGTAAGTGCATAAGTACATAGTGCATAGTGTATAGTGTGCTAT